TCTCTCTCTCTCTCTCTCTCTCTCTCTCTCTCTCTCTCACACCACACACACACACACACACACACACACAAACAAAAAAACGAACTTCCCCCCTTCTTTTCCGGATGACGCGACATCTCACTCAGGTCTAAAACACCCCTCCCCAACGTTTTTTTTTCCCCCGACCCCTTATTTTCGGGGTGCGCCGCACCCCGTGCACGCGCGTCGTGCGCTGTGCGCAGTGCGGCACGTGTGAGCGGTGCAGCGCACGTCGATGCGCCGCAAGTATGATATAAATATATATATCATCACCCTATGTGTGGGAAAGTATTAGGAAGTCCTCTCTGAGGCCCCAGACAGCAGAAACTACGAATGAAAAGCATGAGGGTGAGCTAAGTCATCTTCATCATAATCACAACAACCAGATCGAGATGGCATCCAAACCAAAAGGTCACATCAAGAAGTTGCATAATCATCAGCACCTCACGACGGTATTTCAACGACTGCAGATCCCATGCAATGCCCTGCTACCGACTATCATGTTGAGCTACTGCCAGGACAGGCTGTTCGCCTCACCTTGAGTTCTCACTTCACTCCTCAGCTGACCACCAAAAATGCTGCTCAACGCAGTCTCTGGAAATTCGTGAGTACGGGTCACAGCAGTTCTGTTCTTGGGTCCAACCGTCTCCCATTCGTCTTCATCGTGCATTCCAGCAATAACCTCAGATGACGCACTAGATTGCCTTGCAGCACGAACAGCACCTGCACCATCTCTTCCTACAGTGGAGCCACTGCCCTCTTCCTCCTCTTGCAGCATCAACAATTCTTGATGCAGACAATCAAGACAATAGCTCAGAAACTCTTGAGCATCCTCCTGTCTGGGTAACAACCAAGGCAGATGAGACATTGTGTTTGTCAGGAGGTCACATAATATCATAAAGGAGAATTGACAGGGTTCTCAGTCGCTGTGTGCAGGATGCTCATGGTAGCAATGCACACACCTAGCTTGTGATTTATGTCAGTCATTCATACAACCCTAGCACAGGCACAATCAGTGGTCGCAATCCTCAAACACTGCCGTCAACATTGCATCCTGAATGGTACCCCCACTACCAATGCCACCACACAGGTTTTCCTGTAACTTTGTTTTTCTTTTTTGGGGGGGGCGCTGTCGTGCACACAACTGGCCCTTAACACTTCAGCTGGAACTTTTTGCCGCATGGTAAAACCATACAACATGAAGGCAGAGAATATTGCATGCCAATCAAGTTATAAGAAAGGCTGTCCTTCATGACATCCGTTATCACTTGGATTAGCCTGACTGAAATCACGTCCATAGATTTGCCGAGAAAGTCCTGGCGTGAGTGTGCCCTGATTACAACGAGAATCAAACTTCGGTCTGCATTTGAAGAGTTCACTGGTGTATCAGTTACGCTAGGCTTCATGAATAGCCCCGTTGTCCATACATTGGATTTGATGCCCTGAAAATTCGGTCCACTACTCACCACATGCACAAAAGAGAACTTATGGCCGTGTATCTTTCCATAATCAAGGGGAAGATTCGTTCTCCTTCTGTGCATTTGCTGCGCAGTGGAGCGAGGCCCCTTATCGGATGGATTCTGGTGGTAGGTAAGTTGAAACAGCCCCACAACACACCCCTAGTCATGAAGGCATTGCACATGAAGACAGGCAGGTGTATCTTCCCCTGTTCTAGCGGGAGATATGTTATTCTGCACAACCCACCCTCATCAACGTTCTCGTTTTCTTCTTTGCATCATTAGCAACAACTTCTGGATTTCTGTCGTTTTCTATTTCTAGAGATAAAGAGAACAGACGAACCATTTGAGAGAGCACGGCGCATCCTCATCATAACCATACCAGACCCGGAAGATGCACACCTGCGCACGCGCACACAGACACACGGACATGCACACACAGTTTTGGGGCCACTGTTGAGCGCGGCCTCAAATGGTTTTTTTCTTTTGGTCCCGCCGTACCCCCTCCCCAATTTTAGCCATGAACCACTATTTCGGGGGGCACGCCACACTGAGTGCGCACACATGGATGCTGGTGTGCTGGGCGCAGCACGTAAGTAAAGCATTCACCAAAAGCAGAACACGGTAGTCAGAAAACTTGTGTACTGATCCATCCCTGCAACTGCCCAGGCTCATTTTTGTTGTGTTGTCCAATGGCAGGGGAGGGGGGTAGAAATAGCACTTTAAGGGGGGAGGAGGGGGGGGGATTTTAGATTCATTAAGGAATACTGAGCTGACTGTCAGCCAAAACTTGTTTGCATTGCAGTACTACACCAAAAACCAATTCAGAATTTGTTAATTTTGACTTCCTTCAGATTCTGTGCTGGGGCTGCCCGCGACCCCGCCCCGTTGTCTTCCCCAGCCAGGCAGGGAGGGCACGAGTCCTCCCACGACATGTGTGCCCATGCATACTGGAAAATCAATCCAGATACTAATTGAGTTGGTACTGACAGGACCAACATGCAGCTATACAGATTTCGGATTGACATAGGGTTCCGATTGCAGTCACAGCTTCATGAAAGGGGATGGAGCAATGAGGAGAAGCAGCAGCGTAACATAGAGCATTGGTGGGCATTTCATTTCTTTGTGTGCTATTGGGAATAATATTCGTAGCAGGTTGAGCGTGCAGCTACTACAGTGGATTTCCCAGACACTGCTCCGGGACTGTGAGAGAAACACCCACGCAAATTAATGGCGTTTGATGAACTAGAAATTTGCTGAAAGAATGACGGGATTACCCCAACGGCACACCAAAAAAACCTTCGTTTCAACACAAACCTCTACCTGTACCGAGTGGTCGCATCGTGGGCATGGATACCAACTCACGTTGCAGAGAAAAATGTTGTGACAGCATGAGGCAGCTGCAAAGCAAATCAATCAAACCAGACAAATAGACAGAGACTTCAAAGTTCAGTTTATTATTACCTTGTTCGACCTGGCCCACGAGCTCGCTGGTTGGGACTGAAACGCATCAGCACATTCTCAAACATTGCTGGAACAAATGGCCTTCCAACGTCGATAGTAGAAGTGCGATTACCATACTTGTCAAAGCCATTCACGTCCCTGGCACCATCCTTTGAGACCATGACCTCTCCCTGCTGCGGGAGTTGGAATTCAGCAAGAAAATCAACAAAGGCCTTCAACACCGGGAATTTTCCATCAGTGGGGATCTTCTGAGTGGCAAGTACACGAATGAGATGGAAGAATGGAGAGCACGACAACAATGCTTGGAGAGTGGAATTGAGGAAGCAAGAGTTCCCAGTGTTCATCAACCCACGTGGTATTGGCTGCACTCTTTTGCCCTGCTCAAACTCCCGAAGCGACTTCAGCCACACGCTGCCATAAACTGCTGGTTGCTCCTGATGTACCATGGCTGTCACCCTTGTACCCTCTTCAGCAATTCTTCCATTCCCCTTGCCTGACACGGCCACTCCTCCAACCTGAGATTTAGAGGCCATTGACATCATTCCTGCTTTACCAGATCCTGCACCTACCCCCCTTACTGACACATTTGCACGGACCTCTTCTATGTATCCATCTTCTGAAGGTGGCACACCCACAAGTGCTGCCCATGATTTCGACTTGGCAGCAGAGTTAGACGACCAATCGGCTGCTCTTGGCTCCTTGCACTCCCCATTTGCCTCTGCTCGTGGAATTGTGGAAGAGCCTGGATTTGGTGGCGCGCTTGCAGGGGTGTCTACCTCTCCAACACCGCTTGTATGCACCCCACTCATGTCCCCAGTCTTTTCAGACTCTGCAGCGCTGCTCCCAGGTGTGCCTGCACTGCTGTTACCTGTCCCCAGAGTTTCCGATGACACTACATCAGCACCATTTGTGCTAGCATGCGAGTTGTTCAGCTCACAGACCTCGACCAACGCCCTCTCACTTGCACTCTCTGAATTCGAGATCAATTCACCTCCAGAGAAGCATTCAGCAGATTCAGAGACCACGGGCCTTGGATCAGGACCCCTGCATGGTATAACACTGGAACTGCCTTTCACAACATCGGAGCCTAAACTAGCTACTTGCCCTTTGCCATCTACAGCACCAAGCTCTACTGAAGACTGTATAGCCACTGAACATCCACCCGAAGTTATGTCTGTGGTCCTGGGCTCAGTAGCCGTTGGCACCTCAACTTTTGCAGCATCAAAACAAATCGTTTCCAGATAATGGCCGTCAGTCCTGACCACCTCTCCCACAGCCGCTGCCTCAGCCTCTCTTTCCGAACTGCCTGCCTGTGATTTCTTGACAGGTGTCACAGGCCACAGCGTCACACCCGGGGGACCCCGAATTGCTTTTCCACTATCCTGCCTGTTCGGCACAGCGGCACTTGAGGCAACCACCACTTTTGGGACATTGCCAGTCCTAAGGGAAACCACAGGAGATTTGTTTGGTGGAGTCAGAACTGCAGTCACCCACGGCACAGAGTTCGTCCCAACACTAGGCACCAACAAAGGAGGGCTTACTGGAGCAAGTCCTGCCCCGGCTGTTGATGGCCATCCGAACGTTACAGGAGCAGCCGAAGGGCCATTAGCTGGGGGAGTCGGAGCTGATGGAACGAAGGTCGGCTGGTTTGCACCACTACCTGCAGAAAGATATGACCTTGACTGACTTGCAATCATCGGAGCATGCAGACTGGTACCTGTCCAGGGAAAAGCTGCAGGAGGCCCACTCGTGGGCTGAATGACGGCAAACGGTGAATGTTCTATGAGAGGCACAGTATCATTCCACACAAAGCCACTTGGAGGTGGTGGTGTTGCTGGTGCAACAGTTGTGCCTCCCACCGCCCATGCTGTAGAGACAGCCGGTGTTGCCACAGCCCGCGCTAATGCAGGTATTGGTGGCTGGCTGTTCAGAACGATTGGAGAACCACCAACAATTGGATGCGAATGGCCACCTCCAATGACTGAAGGAAGGCTCCTGGCCGCAACAATAACCGGTGCGGGATGGGGCCCGCCTGTAGAAGGGGGTAGAGGGGGGCCTACCGCGGCAGGAGCATGAGCCGTTGTTGCACCAATTATCGTGGGGTGCATCCTTGGTATGGCAGGTGTTGTATGTGGAGCTCCTACTACAGCAGTAGGATGGGTCCCGGTTGGGATGCAAGTGTGGGCCCCAGCACCAATCACTGTAGAGGGATGTCCCCCTCCAACAACACGGCCAGGAGCTCCATTGACTGGTGCACTGGCGCCCCTCCACACACCAACAACAGCTACATTCGGGGCCAACGACATAGCTCCAGGCCTCCCTATGCCAGCCAGTCCACCTTCAGAAGTACCTACAGCAGTTGCCGATGTTGCTAGTGCAGGGGCTGCTGTGATGGAGACACTTCCACTTGGAACGACTGCTGTTGACATTGATGGGTCACGTCGAACCACACTCCCACTCACAGCACCCAGTGTCGCCTCACCTGATCCCAGACCCAATCCATTCCTGAGAACTGGCACTGTGGCAGCGGGCATAGCTGATGGTATGGCTGCAACCACTGCAGTGGAAGATCGTGGAACCTCCCCAAAATATGGCGCCATACCAGTTCCATTTGTTGCGACACCCTTAGGTATCATGTCCCGTTTCACAATAACCTCTCCAGTACCAAACACCACAGGTACTCCAGGGAGGAGATGAACCGTGGGAGCTTGTGGCGGATGCACAGGGTGAGATGGGTACAAATGCGTCTGTTGAGCACCTGCTGACGGAAACTGATGAAAGGCTTGTTGAGCCACCGGCTGCATACGCTGCACACCCTCCTGATCCGACATGATGAAAATCAAAAGGTGACATAATGCGGACAACCAAAGGGCAAAGAATTAGCTGCTTCCTTCAAGTCCACAAGCAACGTTAGCCATTGAATGAGAAACACATCGAGAAGAGAATAGAACAGAGCTCCATCTCTATTCGTAGGGAGCAACTTGGAAAAAGAAAAAGAACACCGAACGCTAATACACTCGAATCCAAAGAACAGCTCAATGATTCTGAGTTCATCTTCCCAGCCGAAATAGAATGCACAAATTAGGACCAAAGTCATAAGATCGTTCTCACTGATGATTACCAAACTTCCCAGGTGGAGGTTCCTACACCGATCCAGCCAACCAATGCCGGCTGGCAACAGCATGACACAAAAACTCACTGCACTGAATTCAAATTGAAGTGGACCATGCCGTCCACGACATGAAGCTTTGGAATGCACTTGTTGCCTCAAGATGTTCGAAGAGGGCAGCAGGTAATGCAAACAAAGTGAGTCCCAGGAGCAGATTCATTTGCTCACACACAGGTAGGATAGCTTTGAGATCTAAAACTGCTGGGTTAGACACAAAACTTGCAGATTCAGTTGCATGGACTGCTGAGGATTCCTTTTTTCTATCTCCAAAATACTGAGCTTCCACCTCTCTCTCTCTCTCTCACACACACACACATACACACACACACACAGAGACTCCCATTTCATTAGGAAATTCACATGGCAAACAAATGGTTCTCTCCCATCACCAGAACTCTCGCAAAAGAAAACACACACACATGCAGAAGTGTTCAATTCAGAAGGAAAGGACTAATGATGCACCGATTTCAGATTTGAAACTTCGCCATCCCCATAAAGATCTACAGTTAGACAACTGAAGTCAGACATTGAAAGGAAACGGAGGGCCATCGAGCATCTGTAGGCGAACTGGATGCCCGACCTGGGATTGGTATTACAGGGACAAATACAGTTCTGAATTTGCCTAGACTCCCATGTGTTTTAAGAAATTAGCAATATCTGGCAATAGGCAGTTTCTGATCTTCAGAGCTCTCTGAATATGGGACCACATATGGGACCACATCTCAGTGGCCAGATTTCGAGGCTGAATCTCAACAAAGCCATTTCCAATGCTGTTGATGTCAGAATGATTGACCAACACAGACGAAAGCGGTGTTTTGGGAGTCGAGGCAGCCATAACGAAGGTATTGGCCATGGCAATTTAGTTCGAGCTTCAAGATATTGGTTTTATGCCTTCTAGACCAACAGCCAGAGGAGGAACCGCGCAAGGGACAAACACTGCTTTTACTTCCCTCAGCCAATGAAAGGGACAACGAATGAAAGAAAAAGGTCATGCAAACCAGACACTGCTTTTACTTCCCTTAGCCAATGAAAGGGACAACGAATGAAAGAAAAAGGTCATGCAAACCAGACTTGACTGGCCAACATGGGAAGCAAAAGGGAAAACCGCCATGTAGGACAGCACATCAAGGACTTCACGAATCTCACCTGTTTCGTTGGACTATCAACTTCACAATGCTGCAGTTGTCCTCTAGAGGACACCTGTACACCTTGCTGAGACGGAGATGAATGAACCAATCTCTGCACTTGGTGGCGGTCTGGCTCACGCTGTGGCAGTGTCTGAGGCTGCATATTCTCCACTAAAAGGCTTCCCTGAGGCTTTCCAGGGTCTCCTTTTGGAGCTTCCTTCAATAAATCTTTTGCAGCAGGGTCCTGATGAATTTCCTTTTGCTCCACCTTTTGTTTTGGAGTGCATTCTGGAGGCATGCTCCATGCCACTTCCCTTGCTTGGTCTTCGGATACTGACTGCACAGACTGCGTGCTCTGCTGCAAGTCCACTTGTCCATGCTTCGCTGCATTGGCATGATCTGGCGGCTGTCCTATGCCTTGACTCTTTTCGGGAGGCCATAACTGTTTATCCCATTGATTTGCCTCCCTCTCCACCCGTGAGATTTCAATGCGATGGCTTTGATTTGACTTGAGATCTCCTTCAGCCTGCTGTTCAGAATGCTCAGCCAGATGGCTTCCCTGGACTGTCAGTTGCTTCAAACTCTCAGTACTCTGTCCAACAGAAGCACGCTTGGACCCGGCCCCTTTCTCCCCCAGCGCAAGAGACTGGAAATGCAACAACTCAGCTTCTGTGAACGAGCCAAAGACAAACACCTGCAATAGATGTCACAAGCAGGTAATGGGGTTCAAATCACCTTGCAGAGATGTTGCCAGCTTGGGCTCCAAGAGGGCATTCAAACTAATAATTTAATAAAGATGCATCAAATTCATGACATGATGCTCGCCATTACGGCGGAGCGGTTGAGATAATCCTCCGGTCATACGACTTGGAAATGACATCTACTGTCAAATCTTTACGATGGGGAGGCAATTAATGATTATACTGCATACAACACAATTGATAGATAGCCCTACATATCTATCTTTTATGTCAGTTGTTTTGACAGGCAATATTGCTAAGTCGTTGGTGCAAGGTCGCTTGAATGCTAACAACAGACAGCCGTACAAGGAAGGGAGACCCCAATCGGCAGTTCTCGGACAGTCTCTCATAAACAGCAAATGGACACAGTCTCAAACAGCCTGCATATGCAAAGTAGGGCCATTGGGGCCACCAGTTCCACACCTGGCTAGTATAGGAAAGGAAAAGAGCCCTGATAAAATGAACTGGATACTTCAGATGAAGCTCCATGGATATGTGCTCCAGCGAAACAAATCGGGGAGGCCACGATGTCTCGCAGTGACAGAGACATGGATGTAAAGCATCCCTGTACAACATGGCTGCAATGTTCCGTACTTCACACAGGAGACGTTCAGACAACGTGCACCAGGAAGGCTCATAGCACACATGTTTTGCTCCTTTTGTCCTTCCCCCGCTCTTGATGTCGAATAGAGGTGGTGTTGGGCAGGCGAGCTCTATAGGGGATCAACGCGTACCGGACCGTCGATAAAGAATCTCCGGTGGGGACAATCAGCTCGTGCTGTACACGAGCCTAAAAATAGTACAGACAGGGCTCGCCATCTTGGCATATCCCTTGACACAGGGGTGTGCCATGCGCACACCTTTAGACAGCGCCAAAACCTATGCTTTCAGAATGTCCACAACCAAGTGACAATCAAGCTTTCCTTCTCCATATACAGATTTCTCGCAACCGCTCTCTGACTGGACTTTGCAGCATCTTTTAAGTTGCACGTACGGTTCGGAAGAGAGAAAACAAAACGTTTCGAATTTTGTGGCATCCAGCGTCATCAGAGTGACCTCACATTGTTCATGCAGTGCTTACTTCTTATCTTATCTTTCATTCTTATTTCATCTTTCATTCTTATTTCGTCTTTCATTCTTATCTTATCTTTAATTCTGATCTTTCATTCTTATCTTATCTTACTCTTTATGGTAACGACTGCTCTTATAAGTGATTTTGGAAACTGCTTTGTTCGTATTTTCATTGGAGCACCTCATATGGCCTTCCCATGATTAAACAATATCACCATCATTATTACTTCTACGTTCATATCACTGCAAATACGTGGACTTTATAAGTGTTGATTTGATAGCCCCAACGTGCCAAAAGGTCCGGCCTGAAAGCTGGGACCCCTCCTACTTGTGATGGGGAACTTCAGGCTTGCCACTGAGCATCCTAACCACTAAAATATTGCGTACTATGCAGATCTCCGTCAACACCTTCAGATCAATCCCCTCAACGACAATTCCAGCGCTCATGCTGAAAAAACTAGATGACAGTCGAGATTCGTGTTGATTCCGTAAGAGCACATCTCACTGCACTGCCCAAAAAAACTCTGCCAATTCCATCCAATCAATCCGTTCCACAAGAGTTTCAATGCACATGCTCAAAAGACTAGGTTAGACTGCTTCTATTTTCTCATAACATTGAGAAATATCCCTCAAAGCAATCAACTAGACACCCACCCGATAGGGAAGACTCGCCACCTACCATGACAGTTATATTCAATGCTCTGCTATTGGTAACGGCCCTAGTATTGGTAAACACTCTTGTTTCGGTCGTCACATCCATCGTCAGATGGCCATACCAATCAAGCAAAAGGTAAGGACTGCCAAAGACCGGATGTTAACGTTCTCTAAAACTATGCATGGTGAGGACAGACGCCATATCAGATGCTCTTCAAGCATGCCTTATATGAGGAGCACCGCACACATCTGCACACGCTCCTACGGGACAGTGCTTACACTCCACCTGCCATGAGGGGGTCTTGGAAGCCCATTGCCTAAAGCACTGGTACATACCATTCGTAGAGGCTTTGGAGACGTCCCTTGGAGCATAATCAGGGGCTTTGCCTCTCACATGTGAAATGCAACTGTGGGATTTCATTCGCACGTACTGCACAAGAAGGGAATAAAAATGCCTACACATGAAGAGTGAAGAGGGAGGAGGAGGGAGCACTAGAAGCTTCATTTCAGATCCAGTCAAAAATCCAGCAATGTCAATCCGCATATACCCATCTAGAAGTGAAAAGATCATTCTGAATCAAACCAGCAGTTGAGGAGACATCCGTCCTGTGATGTGGACAAAAGAGGACAGAAGCAATCTCCCCACAAAACATTGATATTGATCTTCCTGCCAGTGAGCTCTGTACAGTGTAACCTAACAGAGAAGGCGAGGCCACACATGAACAGATCAGCGGTTTTCTCCGGGAATGCAAGAGAGGTTAGATTAATATCTGGTGCAGACGTATTCAGAGACGTCCAAAGATCAACGTCCACTAATGTGCTCAATGCGCATGGTGTTCTCGTTCATCAACATCAAACGACAAGGGTTGTCCCCTGGCATCGATTTTTTATGAGCGAAAATGGAGGATGGGTGCTCAATGCGCATGGTGTTCTCGTTCATCAACATCAAACGACAAGGATCGTCCCCTGTCCTCGAATTTTTATGAGAGAAAATGGAGGATGGGTGGGACAAGAGGGCAAAAATAGGTCACAATCAAAACCGGTAAATGATCTGGGTGGAATTAGGGGGGGGGGGGGGGGGAAAAAGGGGAAAAAAAAAAAAAAGCAAGATTTTACCTTTGTCAGATTCTCTTCTTTCTTAAACACTTTGCGTGAATTCCCAATTCACATACCTAGTTCTGACAGAGGCAGCACCACGTTCTGGACCACTAAGGATGGCCTCCCACTTGCCATAGCCATGCCGGCAAATTGCACCGGCAAGTACCCACCACATCTACAGACACACAACAGGAGAGACCATGCACATAAACACACATCCACATCAATGCGCAACGAGAGGAAGAGCCTCATTCCCCAAAGCCAAGTCCCAGATCAGACATCAGCCAACCTTCACCTATCGACCAATTGATCAACCAATCAACCAACCAATTGATTTCAGAAAAAAAAAGTAATTGAAAATCAGCCGATCAAGTGAAGCAACGGAGATATGTCGACAACGTCAAATGCCAACCAATCAATAGGTTGGCAAGGACCCAGGAAGCAGGAGGGTTAGGCAAATTCTGTCGCCGTGGGAAGCCATATGATTGACAGCACAGCTACAGCAAGAGGATTCGTTCCGAATCAAGCATCCCTAATTAGTCTACCAGCCGCATCCTCCGCGCAACATACACATTGATCCTCCATTGCAAGAGGTTACAGCTAAAGCAGATTATGGACCTCGAGATTTGCCATTTCAAAACCATCCCTACTTCCCGGCTGCCCTTCCCCCTCCTAGATCACAACGTGCTTCGCCTTCTCCTTGGCAGCCCATTCCTACATGGCGTGCCCATTCGCAAACATATAGACACCTGTCCCTACTAGAGGAACACCAAATCATGCCTCTAGCTGAACTATTCTTCCAGAGGCCATGAAGATGATCATTTAAAAGAACACTAATTATGTCTCCACCCCTAACTACTAAAGGAACACGAATTGTGGACCAGCTACTACGCCCCTTTCATGCCCATGCTGATACCCATAGGGCCAGTCATCGTGGGCATGAACGCGGGCCCAACTGCCACCTAAAGATGTCTTCCCTCAGGAAACACATCGCGATGCCTTCCCTCATGAAGAAGCATCCACCTCGAGATGCCTTCCCTCACGAAGAAGCATCCACCTCGAGATGCCTTCCCTCGTGAAGAACCACACCTCGAGATGCCTTCCCTCATGAAGAAGCATCCACCTCGAGATGCCTTCCCTCATGAAGCATCCACCTTGAGATGCCTTCCCTCAGGAAGCTCTGGAGACAGCCACAATGGACACCTGAATGAACACATCCAGGAAAACAACCAGCATGACTTGTGCAAAGCTCCGCGAGGGCACCTTTGTTTCGGCATGCACAAGACCATCTACACACAGCCCATGCCCCTTAAGATAAGACAACCGGTGCTTTACGAAACCCACATTTACGAAATCACCCAAAGACCGAAAAGCCACACAAACAAACTACTCTTTACCCATATGATCAACTGACCAGGCAGTCAATCAAGAAGTCAGATGTTGCCTTGCTTGTGCTAGCCGCTGTTGCAAAGGGAGAAAGGGATGAAGCACTATGCTATGACACATCGGTCTTCCACAGGAGGGTTTTAAGCTCAACGGCATTGGTGTTGTAGAATCACAATGCCCCAGTGGATTTCGGACGTGGAATCCACTTGAGTGCTGGAAATCTACACAAACATTCAAAGGAAGGAAGGTGGAAGCAACCACTTGAATCATACCCTTTTCCCCATTATGGCTTCTGTCACACATGGGAACGATAGGCGTAACTGAGAGAGTGTGGTGATGTGGGCTGTCAAAGAAGAGAAAGGTATGGCGATAACTGGAGAACAAGAACCGAATAATGAATAACCGTTGGAACCCATGCAGTCGCTGGCAAACAGTGAGGCAAGTCAGACGAAGGGAGACAGGTGGCTTAAGAATTGGGTCAATTGCATTTATTAGAAGTAGAAGAATAGGGAAACCACATGGGTAACCACGTGGGTACAATAGGGGTAACTGAGAGAGTATGGTGATGTAGGATGTCAAAGAAATGAAAGGTGTGGTGAAAGCTGGAGATCAAGAACCGCCGAACAAATAGCCATTTTGGAAACCACGCATTCGCTGGCAGACAGTGAGGCAAGTCAGACAAAAAGAGACAGGTAGCTGAAGAATTGGGTCAATTGCGTCTATAGGAAGTATGGTAATCGAGTGG